ATAATAATAATAATAATAATAATAATAATAATAATAATAATAATAATCGTTATATGAAATGGTAAAACGCACGCACCCAAAATTTGAATAAAGTGAAAAAATCAACACGACTCGATATAGGTATATACATATAAATATGTTCTTTAACAAACAGACAGAAAAACCCATATTAATGCCTCGACTGAGATAAAAAAAAAATCTACAAGAAATGAGTAAAGCAATGAAAAAAAAAAGTTATTTTAAAAAGAAGAAAAAATAAAGAGAAAAAAAACAATAAAGAAACGCAGTTTATTTCATGTAATAAACTATAATAATAATAATAATAATAAAATATAGTTCTTTTTTATTTTGAACTTTGCTCTTATATTTTATCTTCTCTCTTTTTTCTTTTAATATCTGCCATATTTAAATTTTTATACAAATATATGCCAAATAACATTTCAAAAAAAAAAAAATATGCATGTACGATTCTCTTTATTTCTCTTTTTTTCTATTTTCTATTCATTTTTTGAAGTTAATTTTTGCAATGCATATAAGTCATATTCGATAAAATATTTTAGCAGATCTATATGCCAATTTTTATTAGCATTAAATACCGTGGCGGATAACAATTTTCATTTTATTACGCTCTTTTATAGCTATAGTAATAGACTATAGCTCAACTTTCAAATAGCCATGACCGTAAATAGGAAAAAAAATTAAATATCGCAAAAAAGAAAACTTTTCTTTTTCTTTCTTTTTTTCCAAAACTCTAGGAAGACTATGATTAACCGTAGGCTAAAATTCAATTAATGTTACATTTTTATTTTTTCATTTTAAATCTTATTATTAATGTATATATGTATATATTATACATTATGTATGTATAGATGCCTCCCTTTTGCAATATCCGCAAAAAACACGCGAGTGTATTTTATTTTTATTGTATTGTTTAAATGTGATACGATCTTCAAAATCAGGAACATATTTTATATATTATTTTCGTGTCAGTTACTTCCTTCTCTATTTCTTTATAAAATTTTTTTCTTTTAATTGTGACAGTTAAATGATACAATTTTTTTGTTCTTCGTCATCTTTTACGCTGGCATTACTTTGTATATATGTTCGCGATACAATCTTATAACTGCAGCAACATATTCAAAAGATTTTAAATTATTTTTATGTAATATCAACATTCATTATTAAATAATAACGAAAACTGCAATCATATTTGCAAATATCAAGAAATAAATTGAAAAGTTGAAATGAAGAAAATAAAATTGACTACTGGTAAATAAAATTTTCCTCATTAAAAAATTTTAAAGTACAATTCAGAAGGGCACTACTTTTAAATTGCGAAATTATTCTTATAAAATAAATATTTCTTCCATCGATAAATAATTCCGCCAATTATACAAATATAATTGGATAGATATTATAATATATTAGAAATTTTCATCGTTCATTAAATTAAATAAATTTGGTCAATTATTGTTATAAAATAAAATATAAAAACAATGGACATCTTTTCATGAATTCTTCTTTTTTTCTATTTTTTGTCTTAAGTTACTCACAGCACGTAAACGAATACAAAGAACAATTAGAAAAACCGAAATCATATTAAAGTATTTTTTTCTTTTTTTAGGTGGCACCTAAAAAGGCCTTGGAAACTTTTTATATATATATTTTTTAATAGCGATAAAAACATTAGATCAGTTAAAAGTATAATACGTAGAACATATCTGAATACGTTTATTTTAATAGACTGATAGTATATATTTCTTTTGTTTCTTGTAAACTGCTTACAATAAGATGATATATTCATTATTTTTTTGTTATTTAATAATTATTAATTATTTTTTTAACAAGTAAGCAGAGTTTCTTTATGTAATGTAGAGAATGACTATCATAATTCTATACATATTAGGATAATAAGACTTTTGAGATTGTAAAAATCATCAAAAAATCTATCACAATTACCATTTACGTAACAAGTAATTCTCGTTTCATTTTTTCCTTTTATATTATTATTGTAATTTAACATCAAGGCAAATAAGGGGTGAATTTCAACAGTGGCCTAAATTAGCCAAGTAGTCTTCCACAGATAAAAATATGTAAATAGAGTAAATCTATACTAAAATATTCAAGTATATATAAGGTGAGCGTAATATAATAATTTTGTGAGGTAAAAGACCCTCTCATTAATGGTCATCCATTCATTATACTATAAATTCATTTTTTTTCTTCTTCTTTGTCTTTAAATACGACTGGCAAAAGTGTTTGCAACATTTCTTTTTACTCTCCCTCTCATTCTCTCTCAATATTTTTTTCTTTCTTATATTCAACATACCATTAGAGACCATTTGATGGCTTTGTATCAGGTGTTATTGTGCATCAAACAAAAATACACCTTCCACAATGCGTCTTGCTAATAGTATTTTGTTTTGGTATCTCTAATTATATTTACCTAGCAACAACATCAGAGACTCTGTAAGGACACAACTTATCCTGACGATACTATTATCACAGGCATTATTTATATAACTCTGCTAACCATGACTATTAAATACTTCAGAATTACATTTTTTTTTTTTAATATATATAAAATTAAAACTTCTAGTAATAAAAGATGATTACGACTGATTAGCTTAGGTGTACGTACGTAGGCTTCGTGCAATTTACTACAAATGTTATGCGCAAATTTATTTTTTTTTCTTGTTTTATTTTGAGTAATCTTCTATTATCGTTTCTGCGGTTCTGTATTATTCTGTGTTTTTAGACATATCTCCCATTTCCTTATTAAATAGCCATTCATTCTTTTAAACCAATTCTATTTAGCATAACCAATTTTTTTTGAAACAAAAAAAAAAAAAAAAAAAACAAAAAAAAACAAAAAAAAAAACAAAAAAAAAACAAAAAAAAAAACAAATAAAAAATTAACGTACCAAAGACTAATACCAAAATAAGAAAATAATAATAATAATATAATAATAATACAATAGTAT